TTTTGTATTTTTAATAGAGATGGGGTTTCACCATGTTGGGCAGGCTGGTCTTGATCTCTTGACCTCATGATCCACCTGCCTCAGCCTCCCAAAGTGCTGGGATTACAGGCATGAGTCACCGCTCCTAGCCAATAAATCCATTTTTTAAATCACTGTTGAACTCATAAAGAATTGCCAATACATCCAAACTTAGGCTGTACTTCTATACTTAAAAACAATTATGTGTTCAGTCAACTTTAAGAGAGCAAATAATTTCACAGCAGAAGGAACATGCTGACATACTTTATAAATGCTATCAGGATTTTAAACAACTTACTTCTTGGGTGATCGGTGGCCTAAACTGTTTGTGTAGCTCAATAATTATTCTTAGACAAATAAGAACATTTTCTTCATTTTCCGTCTAGAAAAAAAAAAAAGCATTTAAAGAAAGTTACATTTCTGAGGACTCACTTTGAAGATTAAAGGCTAATTTTCTAAGCATTTTCTGCACACACACTCCCCATCAACCAACTTCTATTGGATTTGCTGAAAATTCATCAGCCCACAGAACATGGTTGTCCCAGACAGAAAGCTTCTGTGCACCTCCAGGGAATCCCACCAGCCAGCTCTGCAGGAGTAACCTGGACAGGGGCTGCACTGGCCTTCGTGGCAAGTGACACCAGGAGTTAAGAACTTCATGGCCCAAATGACACTTTCTACTGTTAGAAAATATGGTGAAAAGACCAGGAAAGAATTACTCAGCAAGCACCAGGGACTGAACCCTTACAAATGTTCTGTGAGGATGGGTTCCACCTACATTTGACCTGTGAGGGTGCAAAATCTCAGAGGAGTTGAGCGATGTGGCAGACATGACAAGGCTACACAGTGCTCCAGCCGGGGCTGAATCCAAGCTCATCTTTCCAAGGGGCCCAGAAAACACGACTAAAATCTAACTGCATCAAGACTAAGAGGGCTGGGCACGGTGGCTCACGCCTGTAATCCCAGCACTTTGGGAGGCTGAGGCGGGTGGATCACCACAGGTCAGGAATTACAGACCAGCCTGGCCAACATGGAGAAACCCCATCTCTACTAAAAACACAAAAACTAGCTGGGTGTGGTGGTGCACACTTGTGATTCCACCTACTCGGGAGGCTGAGGCAGGAGAATCACTTCGACCTGGGAGCTGGAGGCTGTAGTGAGCCGAGATCGCACCACTGCACTCCAGCCTGGGCGACAGAGTGAGACTTCATCTCAAAAAAAAACAAAACAAAACAGACTGAGAGAAGCAAAAAGACAATTTTGAAGGTACCAGATGGATTCATCCCAAGAATCTGAGATAGTCTTTATGAGCATCTACTAGGTGTGATGCGCTGCAACTGAGATACACACAGAAAGAGCAACACAAGTCAACCATGCACTTGGGAGTCTGTGGGCCAGCACCCAACTCACTGTCTACAGATGTTTCAAAGGTATCTCCTACGTCTAGCCAATTCCTCAGTAACTCGAAACAATGATTTTCAATTAAGTAATCTTTCTCAGTTGGAAATGGGGGAAAAAGGACATTAAGAAAAATTTTTACTCATGTGACTCAGAATTTGGGCGAAAGATAGAACAGTTACATAATGCTGAATTTTACCATAAGAAAGATCAGTGAAAGTTTTGCATATGGCTATACGACAAGAATTAATTCTCAAGGTTACCTCTAAAAAGCGAAACATAACAGACAAAACATTTTTTGTGTGAGGACGAAGATGTTCGTTGGTTGGTATTCTATGAATTATTTCAAGTACTAGCTTCCGCAGTTGCTGTCAAAAAAAAATTAATCAATGTAAGGATAAAAGTACTTTCAAGGGTTCCAAATTAACTATCGTACATTCTGCAAGTGTCACATAGCTATCTACACCCAGCACTAGGAACAAATCACCACACCACAAAATAGACTCAATTTTTGAAACAGTCCTAAACTCCTGAAATGTAACCCAAAATAAGTACTGCAGGTGATCATTTTCAATATTTCTACGACTGTGTACCAAATCAACTAAGCCAATTTCTCCTCTTCCATGGCTTATCAGTAACTCCAACAGAAGGACAATGGTATAGGAACATGGAGTCCATTTAAGATAAAAGAGAAAAACACACACTGAATCTCCCCTTACAATCTCGGGTTAGTTCCCATAATGCTATTGCCAACCACCTTGGGCCCAGGGACTACTTCCATTATGAGCTGTACTGTCTCTGTGATTCTGCCTGTGGAGCTGAAAACTAAAAAAGGTCAAATTTGGAAGGTCTCGCACTGGTATAATATAAAAATGATTTACCAGTAAGCGGATATTATGGGAATTCTTTTTAAAGTTTTTAAGAGCTACATGCTGAAATACTTAATAGAAAAAGTGGTACAAGGGGACTATTTCTAAATGATCAAGGCAGGGAGGTGTGAACAGTGTGTTGGGGGAATGTGGATAAAATAAAATTAACTATGAGCTGTAATAATTGACATTAGGCTAGGCATGGTGGCTCACACCTGCAATACTAGAATTTTGGGAGGCTGAGGAAGGAGGATCTATTAAGTTCAGGAGTTCAAGACCAGGCTGGGCAACAAAGCAAGACCCCCATTCTCTACAAATTTTTTTTAAAATTAGCCAAGTATTGTGGTGCATACCAGTAATCCCAGCTACTGGGAGACTGAGGTGGCGGGATCACCTGAGCCCAGAATGTCATGGCTACAGTGAGCTGTGATGGCACCACTGCACTCCAGCCTGGGTGACAGAGTGAGACCTTGTCTTTAAAAACAAAAAAAAAAGGAATTGATATTAATAAGATTGGAGTTGGGCAATAGGTATGGGAGGGGTCAGTCCTTCTTTTGTATACATTTGCACTGGGCTATAATAAACAGTGTTCACACATACACCATCGGTTGACAAACGTGAACAACTTAAACAGTAAAAGAGATGGCCTAGACAAAATCAAACCAAGACATGTAACTGAGGAGGCAGCAGTCCTGAACAAAGTTATCCTTATGTGACAAAACCTCTCTCATTTTTAAGTGGAACTGTAAGTTTTCTGAGTTAATTCGTAACTGCTCATGAGCCCACAGCATCCTCCTCTTCTCATTGGTATTTTTTGACATTACCTGCGCTGGTTTCTCCTGAAGAAACTGAACTTCTCCATCTTGAAGAAATGTAAGGAATCGAGGGATGATATGTTCCAGGAATGTAGAATACTGAGGAGATGACGTGACATTCTAATTATGCCAAAATAAAGGAAAACGTCATTCAGTTACGTGTACAAATATTCATTCCAAACTCACACATTATAGTAACTACAAAGGAATATAAAACATTTTAGCCAAAAGCAAATTTTTTGTAGTTGTATTATTTAGTAATAACAATTTTAAATTGATTGTATTTCTGCAATCCAATTCAGGAGAACGAAATGCTAACTTTTACCATTAAAATCAGAAATACCAATGCTTTGGAAAATGTCGAACCTGGAACCCGTTCCAACTGGCTCTGCCACGATCTTAAGTATGAAACCTCTACGAAGTAATTTAGTTTCTAGGTCTCAGTTGTTTGATCTAGAAAATGAAGAGCCTAAGCAAACTAATGTATTAATTAGATGTAAATCATGTGCTAATTAGATGTTTATTAATTACATTATAATCTAGTCTAATCTATTGTTGATCCTAGCAGTGATTTTAAAAGAAAAACAGGGGCTGGGCGCGGTGGCTCATGCCTATAATCCCAGCACTTTGGGAGGCCGAGGCGGGTGGATCACAAGGTTAAGAGATGCTACTCCGGAGGCTGAGGCAGGAGAAGTGCTTGAACCCCGGAGGTGGAGGTTGTGGTGAGCCCAGATGGTGCCACAGCACTCCAGCCTGGGTAACAAGAGTGAAACTCCGTCTTAAAAAAAAAAAAAGAAAAAGAAAAAGAAAAACAGGAAGAGCTGGGCACTGTAGCTCAGGCCTGTAATCCCACCACTTTGGGAGGCCAAGGCAGGAGGATCGCTTGAGCCCAAAAGTTCAAGAACAGCTTAGGAAACATAGCAAGACCCCATCTCTGTAAGAAATTTTAAAAACAAAAGCTGGGCATGGTGGCATATGCCTGTGCTGTGGTCTTAGCTACTCAGAAGGCTGAGATAAAAGGATCACTTGAGGTAACCTGCTAACTGCAAGCATACTAAAAAGGAGAATAAAGTCTCAGAACCTCAAAAGGGTCAGATATTTAATCCAGATAGCCACATGTCCACACTCGGAACCCTGACCCACATGCTTGTTCCTGCCAGGTTCACAGACTGCCCAGGATTTCAGCCTCTCCAACAAACCTGCCAGAACTATGTTGCCTCAGATCAGTTCTTCCAATAAAAGCAGAAAGCAGGCTTATCCTCTTCTGCCTCTCACCTCTTTATATATATATTTGTAAACAGCTTGTTTTAGCAGCTTGGGCAAAAGAGCAAGTTCTTTAGCTAGATTTCTAAATAGCTCAAGATTTTTTTTCTAGCTCGGCTCAAGGCAACAAGTCCTTAAAAATGTCTAGTAAAAAAAAAAACTAAAATACTATCCATTACTACAGATCGTAGGGTATTTGATTCAATCCCACTAGCATGTATTTAATGTTTATTAATTCAAAAGAACTTATGGAGGCTCGAAAATATTTTCTCTATTGTTCTTAATCTTATCTCTGTGAAAAGCGTTTTATTAACCTCACATTAAAAAAAAGAAATGTTGGCTGGGCTCAGTGCATGACACCTGTAATACTGGCACCTCGGGAAGCCAAAGCAGGAGGATCACCTGAGCCCAGAGTTCAACCAGCCTGGGAAATACAGCAAGACCTTGTCTCTAAAAAAGAATTAGCCAAGCATGGTGTCTCCCACCCGTAGTCCCAGGTACTCAGGAAGACCAAGTGAGCTCAGGAGTTCAAGGCTGTGAGCTGTGATTATACCACTGTGCAGCAAGACCCTGTCTCTTAAACTTTTAACTAAAAAATAAATAAATAAATAAATAAATAAAAAACATCAGAAATGTGATCCTTTTGTAGTTTGTAAGTGTGATGATTGGGATTTCATGCTCATGTGTTGAGATGTGCCTCTCTCAAACTTTGTTAAAATGTCAGCACATTACCCATCTGATGTGAAAAAATAAGTAACAAATGTGACTTTCTCATCTGTCTATGAGACTAACTGGTACCAAGGTGAACCAAAAAGTTGGGCAAAATATGAGATAACTTTTTTCAGGGGTTGGATTTGTAGGGGAAAAACCCCGCAAGTGCCGTGGTAAGGGTCTGAAGCCTCAGCCTGTTCTCATGCAAATACTGATTTAGAAAAGAATTAGAAATATAAACACATAGTTATTCCTTTATATAATCATATATAATCTTATAGTTACTCACTTATAATCATAAGATAGGTACTCAATATAACCTTTATTTTGCTAATGATTATCAGGTTATGAAGCATGGAACTGAGGTGACATTGTGAACAAAGTGATCCTAAGGCAAGATGCTCTAAGCCAGGCGTCCCCAAACTTTTTACACAGGGGGCCAGTTCACTGTCCCTCGGACCGTTGGAGGGCCACCATATACTGTGCTCCTCTCACTGACCACCAATGAAAGAGATGCCCCTTCCTGAAGTGCGGTGGGGGGCTGGATAAATGGCCTCAGGGGGCCCGCGGGCCGTAGTTTGGGGACGCCTGCTCTAAGCCCTCTGTCCCGCCCACATAAGGGCTGCTGGAGGGCATCTCAGCTGTGCAGCAGCACCAGCGCCGGCTAAGTGCCTGCTGTTTAGCCAGCTAGGGAAGGAGATGTCCAAAATGGCTGAGACTTCTCCTTCCTCGGGGGAGTTAGGAGAAACTCCACGCTTCCAAGCTCTTGTGGTAGACCTGGCAGCTGTCAGGAAAGCCCACAGACATCCCGGGGCTTAACTGTCTCTATGTGGTGCTGTGCTTCAGTGGTCACGTCCATGTCCACTTTCACACTCCACTTCTGCACCTGGTTTCTCTTTTTCTTAGAAGATAAGAATTAATAATAGTAACATATCTTAATGTCCTTGATGTTTCTGACAAATACGCAAAGACTGCTGACGCATTAGGTTTTCTCCTCGTCTCAGCTACTTGAAAGACCTGGGCCCCCGATCTCCAAGACATGCGATTTACTTGATCCTATCACTGACCACCAATGCCTGGCCCTACCCACCCTGCCCCCTGCTTTGTACTCTATTAGGTCAGAGTGTCCAGGTACTCGCGGCCACTGCCGGACTCTGCGCTTTGGTTGGTTGGCAGTGGACCCCCGGGACCCAAACTCTCTTCTCTTTCTCGGTGTCTTGTGTTTTTTATTTCCACAGTTTCTCATCTCCACACCAGCAGGGAGGGGCTCACAGGACCCTGATCAGGGGCGCTACTGGAGCATGACTCCCAGGAGAAGGGAAATTCACACACTGAGCCCCATGATCCACCATGGCTCTCTGCCTAGGTACAATTTTCCAACTGGGGTTCAGCAAGCTGGGTGCAAACAGGGGTCAGGGCCTGCTGAGCTGGGAATAAAATCCTCAAAGTTCAGGGCAGCTAAAGTGGCTGGAATCTGCAGGGCACAGCACCAGAGAAAAGCAAACCACAGAGCAGGGGAATGGGGAGTGTCTCCAGTGAGGCCGGCTGAGGGCTGCACTGCACATACACAGGGTGCCACTGCCTGAAGCTCACCAGTGTGCCTGCTTTAAGACTGAGAGATGGGGCCAGGAGCGGTGCCTCACTTGCAATCCTAGCACTTTGGGAGGCCAAGGTGGGCAGATCACGTGAGGTCGGGAGTTTGTGACCCACCTGGGCAACACAGCAAAACCCCATCTCTACTAAAAATACAAAAATTAGTGGGGCATGGTGGTGCACCAGAGGCTGGTAGTCCCTGGTACTCCAGAGGCTGAGGTGAAAGGATCAGGTAAGCCCAGGAAGTTGAGACTGCAGTGAGCTGTGACCATACCACTGCACTACAGCCTAGGTGACAGAGGGAGACCTCCTCAAAAAAAAAAAAAAAAAAAAAGACTGCAAGATGAATGAAGATACCATACATCTAGCAATGTTAGAGGATGCTGACGTTGGACTTCAAGCCTAACCAGAGTGCAAAGACCTACTTAACATCTTGACAACATCCCAGACCTCAAGACCTCACACATACAGCTAGACCATGTCTTAGAGTAAGGCGTATTCTAGACCAGCCCCAACAAAGCCTAAAATCAACCTCTGATGAGATCCACAGGCAGAATCTGGAAGTTGAATCCTACCAAGTTAGAGACCAGGGAAACACCTTGGGCTATCCAGATTCTCCCCAGCAAAGCATAAAACCAAGCCTACACAAGTTCAGTATCAGCTGGTAACTGAACTGCTGACAACGATAAAATGTCGATGTTCTTCAGAGGGAGATAATAGGATCCAGAGTCCCCACGATATCACACAGAGAATGTCCACTGTACAGAAAAAAAATTACTAGATTGTTGGGCGCAGTGGCTCACACCTGTAATCCCAGTACTTTGGGAAGCTGAGGAAGGAGGATCACTTGAGTCCAGGAGTTTGAGACCAGCCTGGGCAATATGGTGAAACCTCGTCTCTACAAAATATACAAAAGTTAGCCAAGCATGGTAGTACATGCCTGTAGTCCCGTAGTCCCAGCTACTCAGGAGGCTGAGATGGGAGGATCACCTGAGCCCAGGAGGTTGAGGTTGCAGTGAGCCAAAATCACACCGCTGCACTCCAGCCTGGGTGACCGTGAGACCCTGTCTCAAAATATATAAATATATAAATTACTAAACAAGGAGAGAGACAGGATAACGTGTCCCACAGCCCATAGAATTTGACCTTCACAGAGCCCAAATGTTGGCTTTAATACATGAAGACTTGAAAGGAGCCCCTACACAGTAAATTGTTCAAAAAATAAAAGAATATGGTCTTAATAAATGAAGATGAGGAATCTGCAGAGAAGTGAAATCTACAAAGAACCAAACAGAAATTCTAGAGCTGAAAGCACAATAACTAAAATTTTAAAAAATACAAAAAATAAACTGAAATGCTAAGAAAAACCAAGCAGGGTGGTTTTTTATTAGCCAGGGGTGGTGGCAGGCACCTGTAATCCCAGCTACTTGGGAGACTGATAACAAAAAAAATTCTCAGAAGATCAGCAGAAATTATCCAATCTAAAGGACAAACAGAAAAAAAGACTAAGGGACACGGGGGACAATATAAAATTGTAAGGTGTGAGGTCCACAAGAGAGAAAGTTCTTTCTTGATCAAGGTCACAGATGTTCTGATTAGCAGAACCAGAAATGACATCCAGATCTCAATACATAAGAATATACCATTAATTACCTGAACATAACAAATTAACGGCCAGGCGCAATGGCTCACACATGTAATCCCAGCACTTTGGGAGGCCAAGGTAGGCAGATCATAAGATCAAGAGATCGAGACCATCCTGGCCAACATGGTAAAACCCCATCTCTATTAAAAATACAAAAACTAGCTGGGTGTGGTGGAAGTCACCTGAAATCCCAGCTTGTCAGGAGGCTGAGTCAGGAGAATCCCTTGAAGTCAGGAGGCAGAGGCTGCAGTGAGCTGAGATTGTGCCACTGCACTCCAGCCAGGCAATAAGAGCGAGACTCCGTCTCCGGGGAAAAAAAGAAAACCTGAGATCAGGAGTTCAAGGCCAGCCTGGCCATTATGGTGAAACCCCACCTTAAAAAAAAAAAAAAAAAAAGAATAAATCTGAGTGCATCCCAAGAGGCATGGTAGCCTAGAAGAGCTACCATATTTAAAATGAAAAATGTTAAAACAGAAACAAAACTGACATTCCTCAACATGGTGTGGGGCTCCCTATCAGTAGCATGAAGATGGACAATGCTGTGCACAAAGTTTCAAATGTCAGTTTCAAAATGTAACTTGTGTGAACAAAGACAATGATCTTTGAGCTGCTAGTAAAAAGACTGACAAAGGAGGAACAGAAAAGTGGTTATAATATTTACCTCCAAATGAAAAACACAAAATATTATGCTCATACCTCAAAATTTTCACTAACTTCTTGCATCATTTTCAACTTCGTTTCATCAGCTGTGAACAGCAAAACAAGCCATCAGGTAATTGATACTATGTTAAGAAATCATGTTAATCCAAAACTGTACTGGATTTAGCAAATGAAGAGAAGCAATCAGATCTTATCAGTTTGACTGTCACGGCCTAATAGAAGGCACATAGCTAGTTCCCTACCACCAGTCGCACACATTTGTACTCCCAGACATACACATGCATGCACTGACAAGCATAAAGATACACACACACAAACACACACACACTCGTGCCTCTTTGGGGCTCCAGCCAATATTACTCATCACTTTGCTTCTCTATTAGGCAGAGAAAATTAAAACGAGAATAAACGTTAACATTACTATTAATTTCAAAGTGCACATCATTTGTGCTCAGACAGATGTATCATATTTACGTATTTCTTTTTTTTTTTTGAGAGGAAGTCTCGCTCTGTTGCCCAGGCTGGAGTGCAATGGCGTGATCTCGGCTCACTACAACCTCTGCCTCCGAGGATTTAAGTGATTCTCCCGCCTCAGCCTCCCGAGTAGCTGGGATTACAGGCGCCCACCACTGCGCCCAGCTAATTTTTTTGTATTTTTAGTAGAGACGGGGTTTCACCATGTTGGTCAGGCTGGTCTCAAACTCCTGACCTCAGGTGATTCACTCGCCTCAGCCTCCCAAAGTGCTAGATTACAGGCATGAGCCACCGCGCCCAGCCTTATTTATGCCTTTCTTAATGACAAAAAGGATCAACTCACGTGTATTCACATCTGTGAGAGCTGCCACAAACTGAAGGTACTTTTTCATCAGAGTGGTTTGGTCAACCACTGTGGCCCCCTGTGTTGCAACAAAGGCCATTTTTCTTTTGGGCTGGTTTGCTTCTCAAGAGAAAAATATCAGGTCCATGAGTTCACCCAGCCTACAAAAAGAAGCATAGAGTTAGTCAACTCACAGAGGGCACAGGATCACAATCTCTGAAAATGCTTTCATCACCTTAAACCAGAATCTAACGCTATTCATTCTGGTTTTTTGAATATACGTTTACCCAACTCCATTTTGTCTATTAACTTTGAA